GTCCACTCTGTCTGTCAAAGAAAAAAAGAAAAGAGAATGGGAAACTAAAAAAATAGTGATAATAGAAACCTTCCAGTATATAGTATAGGAGCTTCAGACTAAGTCGAAGCTTACGGCACCTCCAAGACAGCTGGATAACAGTGAGTTGGGAGTGCAAATACAGGATGGAGAGTAATAGCAATAGAATACATTCAGAAGTTGAGCTGATTTAAAATAGGTGACTAAAATCCTGAGGGGGAAATAACTTCTGGGGAGAAACTTAAGACCCTAATGGCATGATTGTGGGCAAAGTGTTGTCAGGAGTAGAAGTGGGAGACACCAAGGCAAGGAGATGGGAGATGGATCAGGAGGCAAATGGTAGGAAGCTCCCAGGTGAGACCTGGTGAACCTTCTGTTGGCTTCAGGAATTTCAATGGCTAATATGGGCCTCCTTGGAATCTCCTCTGTATCTTCTCTGACCAATTCTGCAAACCCTTTATGAAGATGTAATCGCTTTGAGTCTCTACTAATCGGTGATAGTGAAAAGTCTTCCCATACAGACTTATTCTAAAAGTTAAAAACATATCATGGCACCTAGAATCTGATGGATTCTCAGTCTTCACTGAACTTTAATGTCTATTGTGTTGGATCAACTTTTTTTTAAAGACTTGAAAGGCAGAGGCGGAGAGAAGTCTTCCATCCACTGGTCCACTCACCAAATGGCCGTGACCACTAGAGCAGCGTCGATCCAAAGCCAGGAGCTTCCTCCGGGTCTGCCACTTGGGAATAGGGGCCCAAGGGCTTGGGCCATCCTCCACTGCCCTCCCAGGCCATAGCAGAGAGCTGGATAGGAAGTGGAGCAGCTAGGACTTGAACTGGCACCCATGTGGGATGCTGGTACTGCAGGCGGCGGTTTCACATGCTAGGCTAGAGTGCCAGCCCCAGGATCAGCATTGTTTAATTTCAAATTTTCAGCTACTTCGTATGTGTCTCATCTGCTCAGTATCCTTCCTACATTCTATGACTTAGTTTAGAATATGCCTTACCCAGTAATAAGAGTAAACACTTATTTGGGTGTACAAAGCAAAACATGCCAAAACCCAAAGAACCCAAGTTGAACACTAACATCTGCAGATGAGAAGAACATTCTGTAACTATCTTCTGTTCTCCAAAACCAACTTTTCTTGTTTCTCTAAACACACAACATCCTCAAGTCTCTTAGACCATGCTTAAAATACCTGAACCAGCAAATGGACTCTCTCCATTTGTGGTACACAGCCTTCCTTCTCTGCTAGGCTGGCCTGACTGAAGGCTGTGTTAGGTCCAAGCCTGGAAATGGAGTCCTCTATCCTTCACGGCCCCAAACTGCGAGCTCTACACATCCTGGCTTCCAACCTAACTTTGCCAACTCCCAATAAACCAAGATGTTGGGCCAGTAAGGACTCCTTGTCTACTGGAAATAGATCTTAGAGATCTATTTTCCTGTTGGCAGCCAACAGGAAAAATGGAACCTTGCAAATGACTTAAGTGGCCTTCCATCTATCTTAGGAACGGGGCTTTAAGTGCAGATCCTAGAATGAAAAAAAGGTGATCTCTACTCTTCTCCCACAGGGGGAGAAGGGCCCAGTCCCAATAACAGGAATCTGGAGTGACTTTGCTATTGCTGAAGTTCAGTAGATGTGCTCGTGTAAGGGCAAGCTTGTGGCAGGAAGTGAGGGCTGGCATTCTGCATACCTGTGAGTGATCTCGGGTCTACCCTTGAAGATGGTGCTATTAGATGGAGGGGGAGAAAATCAGCAACCAGGAATCCTGGTCAGCTGGTGATGGAAGAGATACTTAGACTAATTCCTTTCCTACAGGGAGTGCTCCTGCCTAATCATTGGATTGTGTTAAACAAGATGCTCCTTCAAGGCTGATCTTGGGCCTTTGTGCTTAGAGGAGTAGACTGCTGCCTGGCAGAATGAGTTCATATGCTTTGAACATGCCCAGAACTTGTATGGTGAGGTGAGAAACTGATACGCGATACAACGTTGGGAACTTAAAGAACAAGGGGGAAGAGAAAGTTCTGGTAGAAGTCTACAATGGGGCAGATCTGTGCTTTAAGTAGCTGTAGCCAGTGAGAAATCCTGCAGAGAGCAGCTGCCTCATAGGTGGCTGCTGCTACTGCCTGACTTTGAATCTAAGTAGTTGCTTTATGCTGTGCTGTCATCCTAAACCTTCAGAAACAGTCTTCTCTGTATACCTGTTGTTGGAACTTTGGAAAAGTAATGCAGCTGAGTGTGGAGAACGTATAGGGTGAAGGACAGCTCTGCAGGAAGTAAGATTCAGGGAGTGGTATGGGGTGTAGGAGAGAGCAAGAGGTGGCCGTGATAGCTGGAAGGCTGAGAGCCCCAGGAGTATGGCGACACAGTCAAGAGGGAGTGTTGTGAAAGGGGGATGTCAGGTTTCCTCGTGACTACAAAAACATACACTGAAGTACAGAGTGACGTAGAAACCGGGTGCTACGCCATCTGACTACAAACTTTGAGCTATTTATCTGAAGTTGAAGGTTTAACTAGATGTTCAAGAACTACTGGCACTGCTCTCTAACTCAAGACTTCACTGCACTCTCCAGGAAATTGTAGCTAACAGTTGAGTCCTTACTATAGGCCCAGTCCTATGCTGACTTGGGTATGACTCTCACTTTATAGCTGAAGAAACTACATATGGTTCATGCAGCCAGGGTTTAGTTCTAAGTTTTCTAACTCCCAAATCCAAGTTCTTAACTCCTAGCTGTACAGCTTAACATGGAATGACTTGAACTGGGTTGACAACCCAAGTGTTAATCTGATGAGCCCTTGTTATGGTTTATTCCTATCAGCAAACGTGTTGGGGCTCTAGGCAGGAGAAAGTTACAAAAGCTATTACCAGAATCATAAAATGGGAAAGAATAAGTTTATACCACTCACCTTGATGAGCTATTCGGGGCTGAATAGGGCCAAACTTAGGGGAAATGCAACTTAAAAATACCAGAATTCCAAAGATGACTCAGTCTTTTTAAAATGTCTTTTAATGTACTTCAGAATATAATCAGCATGTATACATAAACTATCAGGCAAAAATAAGCATTTTACAAGTAGAGTGTTAACATTCATACACTTAAGTGTTAGCAAAGGTTGGAAACCAGAGCAAAGAATGCAGCAGGAAGGACCTTCCCAAGGAAAGTGCCTCCACCATTAGGCAGCACAGCTACCCTGAAGCTTCACAGAAGACTAAAAGTGCTGAGAAATAGATGGGGTAGCGGCCTCATCCGATGATGTTCCCCGTGGGCCTCCTTGTGTAGCCAAATGGCCCAGCACAGCAAGCACAGCACCCTCTCTAGGCAAACAGTAAACACCTGTTGCGTTACCCTAGATCCACCAGCCTGCAGCGGGGTTTTCTGCCCAGTTAGCAGGCAGGGAATTAAGAATTACAAACGGTCTCACTTAACATAGTCACAGTGGTAATTCCTTTGGTATAGCAACTACACACCCCTGAAGTGCCATCACAAACCCCAATACATAAACTGATTGGAGGCATGCTGATTAGTGAACCCTGGAGTTTGTGCAACCTGAATCACTGCAGCTCATTGGAAGTGAACCTCTTGCATTCAAGTTCTGAAGGTTAGCCATCAGAACAGCTCCTTTATGGGACTACTTGGGAGTGTTGCCCTGAACACGGGATCTTTGCTGCTTCCGTATATGTATGTTACTCACCAGGCTCGGCAACCACAGTCAAAGCCTATGTGATTATGCAAAATGCATATAGGAACCCCACTTCCTAGCTAAGCAAACAGGTGTGTGTGTGTGTGTGCGTGTGTGTTTTTAAAGAATTATGCCATTAAAGCATGGAACACATTTAAATGAAGCCAGAGTAGGATGAGGGTTAGGCCTACTGACAAACACGTAGGTTTCCTGGTAAACCAGGCCATTTCTGAAGGGATTGAATGTTGTCCTGGCCTTGAACGTTTCCTTCACTTCTGTGACTTTTTCTCAAGTGAAAACTCCATGGAGACACACAGAAGGGATAAAGATGCCACCATGAAGGAAGTGTCCTAAAGACCATTACTCCACCAGCTGTGAGCAATTGGGATCCCAAAGGGCTTTGGAAACGCTGCCTACTAGAAGATGCAACATCTAACTTAAAGGCATTTCTGGTCTTCTGGAAGAAAGCCTACAAACAAGGAGTAACTAGGATCAGTATTTTACATTCTCTTGCCCCAGGACCACAGAACCAAGCTAATATCCCTGTGAATCTGAAATATGGGGTCTTGCAGACATAGGTCATTGAATTCCAGCATTGTCTACTGTGGGTAGAAATTATAGGACAACCAAACCAAATATGTTCCATGTAAACTCAAATCATAAAGGTATACTGAGACTATTGGGTATGAGATGTGATGAGAAATTAAATCTTAAACTTAAATCTGCTTTTGTAAAAATCTGAATTTTGAAATACCTGTAAACCCAATTCATAACTGGTCTCTAAGATTACTCCACTCAGAACCACAAATCTTTTTGAATGCCCTTTGGAAGTTACATACTTGAATTTTAAGTGAGTCTAACAATTAAGTATACTCTAAAGATTTTAAAGTGCATTTCTTAAATACATCAATTAAGTCAGTATTGGGAAAGTTAGATTTTAGTTAATATGGCAATTTCACTTTTCCAAGCAGGTCTCATTCGATCTTGGTCCCACTTGGATTTTGAAATGCATTGTGAAAACAGCCCTTTTTACTAGCTTGTTTCTGGAATCTGATTAACGCCCCCTCCTCCCAGTCAATGATCAGGTCTATAAGGGAATGACAAAGCTGAACATCGCATACAGCCTTCATGTTGCCTTAATGCAGTCAACGTGACAGTACCAGCTCCAACTAGTTCCAAAGGTGTTGCAGGTGTGTATCACTAAGTCCAGTGACTGCTAAGAGGCAGATGGATGAGCCCTTCTTCACTCCCTCTTATCTCCTTGACTTATTTTCTGTTCCAGTTATGGGAGATGTTCTGAATCTTTTTCAGTTTGATTCTCTGATCTAGCATCTTGTACCTTGCAGGATGCTCGTCAGTCTTCTTTGGGACTGAAGGTGCGTAGGAGCTGGATGCATAAGCAGGGCGTTTAAAGTGACGCAGAGGAGGCTTGATGACTGGACACCAGAGAGAAAGACAAAAAAACCATCAGCCTCAGCAATGGCATGGCATGACTTAAGAATTCTGGGCAACTTCCTCTTAAACAGTGTGTATTGAATTACCAATAGATGAATAAGCCCACTATCGCCTCAGTCACTTAAAGACAACAAATGACCAAATACATAGCATAGAAAGGGTTAAAGAAGCATGATGTGACACTAGGGTCACCTCTGGGACCTGTAAAGCAAAATGGAGTCCTCAGTCATGGTTAGCACTTGGCATCATATGTAGGAACTTGGTTTTGGATAGTGGTGCTCAATCTGACAAGGATATCACTGAATTTTCAAGACCCATCTAAAACAACTCTGAAACCAATGCATACACGGGTCAAAGATAAACATGTCAAGCACAGGATAAGGTACCCGACAATTTTTATCATTGTGGAATTGTGAACTAGATCAACAAAGATACTGATATTCCTATACAAAGCTAAAATTGGAAAAACAAGACCCAGTGTTGTGCCTTAGTGAGTTAAGCTGTCACCTGTGATGCTGGCATCCCATATGGGTACTGGCTTGAGTCCCGGGTGCTCTACATCCAATCCAGCACCCTGCTAATGGCCTGGGAAAGCAGTGGAGGAAAGCACTTGGGCCATTGCACCCACAATGGTAGCAGGGACTCAAGCACTTGGGCCATCTCATGCCTTCCTAGACACATTGGCAGGGAGCTAGACTTGAAACAGAGCATCTGGGACTCTAATTGGCCCTCTAATAGGAAATACTGGCATCATATGAAATGCTGGCATTGCAGGTAGCAGTTTAATCAGCTATGCCGCTCTGCCAGCCCCAGAGTTCAAATCCTTATGTTCTAGGGTTTTTTCCCCCACAAACTCATTAGAGCCCCACCCTACTAATAAGTGGAAGAGGTCAGTCTGTAAAGGTTATATAACATATGATTACATTTATGTGACACTTAAATTCTTAGAGGTAGAGTCACAGATGAGACAAAAGTCTCCCATCCACTGGTTTACACCCTGAATGGCTGTGATGGCCGGAGCTGGGCTGATCTGAAGCCAGGAGCTTCTTTCAGGTCTCCCACACAGGTTACAGGGATCTAAACACTTGGGCCATATTCTGTTTTCCCAGGCCATAGAGAGCTGGGCCCTAAGCAGAGCATCTGGGACCTGAACTGGCAACCATATGGGATGCTGGGGCTTAGCCTACTATACCACAGCACCAGCCCCCCAAGCTTCTATTTTTTTTCTTATTTGAAAGGGAGTTCGAGAGACAGAGCTTCATCCACTGGTTCATACCTCAAATGGCTACAACAGCTGGTGCTGGGCCAGTCCAAATCCAGGAACTACTTCTAGGTCTCCCACGTGAGTTTCAGGGGCCCAAGGGCTTGTCCTGCTTTCCCAGCACATTATTGGGAAGCTAGATTGAAAGTGGAGCAGCTGGGGCTTGAGCTAGCATCCACATAGGATATTGGCGTTGCAGGCGGCGGCTTAACCCACCATTCCACAAGGCCAGCCCCTGTGTGATGCTCTTGAAAGGACAAAAACTATAGGATGACAAAAGATGGTGTTTTGGATGAAGGAAGAATGCTTAAATATAAGTACTTCAAGATTTTTATGGAAAATAGAACTAAGATGTTTGTAAGCAAAACAAAAGTATGTATACAAGGAGACCTCAAAGATTCATGGCTAATGCATAATATGAAAAATACGCACTTAAAACTTTTTTCATCAGAATCAACTTTCATAATGGATTTTCTGATGTATCCTTGCAGGTGATAGAGGCTTTTGTAAAGCACTGAAACTATTCCATATGATACCATAGTGGTAGATACACAGCACTACACACCTCAAAATCCATATGCCTTTGTAGCACAAGGAGAGATTCCTAATGAACAGAAATAAAACACTATTTAGGAGGTCCTAGAAATACCAGAATTCAAAATGGCTAAAACACAACCAAACTGCATCACAAATAGAGGAAAGGACCTCCTGGAGGAAGGTAGTGCAATGGTCACCTAAGTAACTCTGGAATCTGTAAGTCAGGGGGAAAACTCTGCACATAGAATAGTGTATTCTAGTTGATCAAATTGTTTTGGGGTGGGGAGGGGTACAGCTTAAGAACTCTAACACCACTCTACACACACTGGAATTGATCAAGAATCTAAGTGGAGAGTTGATAAGAATGATGGGCATGGGAGTATAGATACAGAGGAGGCTGGAATGAGCTGTGGTACTGGATTAGACTTGGAGTTGTATGGATTTGCCTATAGCTTAACAGATAGGCAGTTATACAAATACTTAATGATGCACACATTAGTATACACATACTTCCTTGTTCTGTCTGCTGAAGAGGTCTCAAAGTGAGGGAAATGATTATAGCCTCAGAAGCTTCAATAGCAATAAGCATACCTAATGATAAGTTATTTAATACCACTCCAATAAAAGGAAATAGGTATGAGGCCAGCCCCATAGTGGATAAAGCTGCCACCTATGGTGCTGGCATCCTATATGGGTGCCAGTTCAAGTCCCAGCTGCACCACTTCCAATCCAGCTCTCTGCCGTGGCCTGGGAAAGCAGTAGAAGATGGCCCAAGTTCTTGGGCCCTTGCAACCGCATGGGAGACCAAGAAGCTCCTGGCTCCTGGCTTTGGGTTGGCGCAGCTCCAGCCACTGTAGCCAATTGGAGTGAGCCAGCAGGTGGAGAACCACCCCCCCCGCCCCGCCCTGTGTAACTCCAACTTTCATATATTTTTAGGAAATGGGGCTCCTTGTAAGAATGACTGACTCTAGGACTAAAGTACAAAATATACAAAAGTACTAAAAAGCAAACACATGTACACAATGATAAATGAATCCTGAATAAAGAACTGAAACGCCAAAGCTTGGACAACTTGAACAATAAGATAAATAAGGCAGTGTTGTATTATAAGCCAAAGTATAAAATATCTGAGTCCATCCTGATATCAACGAGTGAATGTAGGATAATAGACAAGCTACCTGGAATTCTGCATAAGAGACCTACATATTTGTACCCTCTTCAAGGAAGGGGGAGCCCTTAGCATGAGCTGGTTGTAATAATGTCCTTCCAAAGAAGTATGTCTAAGAAGGAAGCAAGAGAGTAGCTTACAGTGAAAGAATCAACATGACCCCACCCAGGAGCCCAAGGTTGATATCAAAAGTGTTGGTAGGACGTACCTTGGATAGTACTGATGAAAACTAACATTTACCTCTGTGGTCTCTGTACAACATACAACCTCACTATAATATCACATATATCCCAGTTGAAGGGCATTCCTCAAGGTCATCAAAAACAAGGGATGTCTGGGCAACCATCACAGTCAAAGGGGACCTGGGGGGATCACTATGAAGCAACACTGGAAGGGAAAGTCACCAGGGAACAACTGGGATATCTGACTAAAGGTAGGAACTTCAGGAAACCATGCACGTATCATCTGTCTTCTGCCCACAAAAATGCAGGTTGGAGACTATCTAACTCCTCCTCCCTCCAGTACTTCTGCTGTAGACCTACACCAGCTCTCCTGATCAGTGAGATGATTGTAAATAGGAATAAAGATCCACAACCAGTTACAACACATGGAAGATAGAGCAGATATAACTAGGTGAAAGCTGTGACAGCCATGTTAGGGTTGACTAGTTACCCCAACACTAGCTCTTGCTGGAGACCATGCCATGTAAAAAGTTAAGGAAGGATGGTGATGCACAAATGGGCCAGTTGGACAGATGGGTCAAATCCCTGAGGCCACCTTTGTGGGAAAAATCTTCCAATGGCACATTTAAGCATAGTGTCCATGATAAAGCAAAACACTAGGAACAACTTAAATATACAATCATAAGAATAAATTAATTTGGGGTAAATTCTTAAAATATAAACCTGACACTATAGATGGTATAGATATCAACAAAGTTGTATAATACTGTTAAAAGCAGTACATATGATCATTACTAGTAATAAGCACATGTATAGGAAAACCTGAAATACTTTCATAAGCTCAGCAGTGGTTACTTCTGAGTAGCATAAACATTTTCTTTTGTCTATAATTTTTCTATGATCACTCTAAGTATGTAATTCTCTAAGGATCATTGGAACTATTCTACAAATCACACCTAATAGTTGGTAGAATTGTTCATTTTGTGTTAATATAGACATCTCAATAGCAGAATACTTTTTTACAGCCTCCAGACTAATAGGCATATTTATTCATTGACTTTGAATACCTGCTGGGTACTGCTGAGCTAGCATTGAAGGGAGCAAATTCTTGTCCTAGTGAGGTTTCTATTCTAGTAATACCCTCAAATTTGCAAATCTCTTGAAGAAACATTTTCATGTGTAAGATGTGCTATGACTACAAGCTCTTTAATACCCACACCAACTTGGCCTTCTAATTTGCAAAGTATAGTAAACACATTCAGCACAAGGCCCTATTTTGACTTTGTATATATTCCATAATCCAGGAGAACGGAGTTGAAGATCTGGGAGTACCTAATTGGGGTTTCTTCTAGGTAAACAAGAGATTATGGCCCCAAACTCTTTAGGAATAAACAGTACTATTACCTGGATATAGTGAGGAGAGAGCACACTTCAGATGAAAGATTGTTGGAATTGCCTGGGCTACCTGATTTACTGCTCTTCAAAGTCAGTCCCTCTCCATATTCATTCTATTTTCTCTACTCAGCATGAATCCAGCCAAAGTATTATTGAATTCCTCACATCTCAGCATGAAGAAACATTTGCCATTTGCTTAGAATCCTGACTGTCAGAATAGAAACTCTCCTTGCCATTGAAGATGCTGCAAATAGAGTTGAACCTGCTGATTAGAGATCCGCTCCCCAGCGAGATTGTGGGAATACTTATATACCTGCTGTCACTCTTGCTCAAAACATGGGAAAAGGGAAAATTTCATACTGTGCTACTCTGTATGCATTCCTGGCCTCTCCCATCTGCAGAAGAATGTGCTGTGATGACGGGGCACAACAGCAGAGCCAGGAAGAAGGCACCATCTTGAACTTGTACGAGTGTGAACTCCTGGGGTATTCCTGTTTGCCCTCTGGTAATTCCTGATGTATTGGATCTCAGCCTCCTGACGATGAATGGGTACTACTCACAGCCGGGCCCAACCAGTAGTACAACTTCCCTCCCTGGTGTAGAACAACCAAGCTAGGACAGGGCCCTGAACCCCTACCCCATACTTATCAAGTTGAACACTTCTTCCCTTTGAAGACACGTTCAACAGGTCTATCTCATCTCGGTGATTAACTGGAGACAATCTATTTAGCTAATGAAGACTTTGACTAAGGCACATATCTCTGCCTAGAAACTGAACTTGGGAAAATCATTATCAAATATAACTAGGAAAAGACAGCTCAAGACAAATTAAAACATCATTGTATCCTTATAACTACATGCATTTTTTTCAAGTAAAAGATCCTAAGAGTTCTCATCTACTTACACTCATCACTTTCATGAATTGCCATTATTCCTGACTCTCTGCCCCTTATCCTGTTACCACTACCTTGAATTTCTTTTACTCCCTTGTACTTGATGGCTGCTTTTTCTTGGCATGGGAAGATATTATACAGAGTTATCTTTCTACAGAAAAATTATTACTCAACAAACTAATACGAGTTAGTTGTGTTTGGGTATTCTAACATAAATGAGGGGCTCAAAAGTTTTGTTTACGACTTATCGGTCTGTTTCCCAAAGCACTCTTGAAAAAAGTGTGCAATAGATTTGAGGAGAGGGAGGGCTTCCAGTCTCGACTTGAACTGAGTTCAAGTTAGGATCTTCTCACCAGAACTTGATGCCTTAGATGATGGTGATCTATATTGTGAGAACAGCCAATAGACTGTAGCTTTTCTCGATTTTACTTGAAGATTCCCTTTATCAGTAGCATTTAATAGTGTTGAACAGAAAACACTTATGGTATCTGATGTAATTTATTATTTTTCCAAATCCTAAGCCATCCTCTCAATATACCCTTGTTCTTACCCAAGAGCAAGACTGAAGAGTCACTAGTTCCCATCTACATTTGAATCTGGCCTAATTCCCTGAAGTTAAATGTGACTTCTGGTTCTTTGAAAGAACTTCAAGGTGATCACTGGAACCACCAAGCCGCAGTGCAATGGCATATTCAAGTAGTGAACTTCTCAATCTCTAACACGGCATCCCCTCAAATGGTAACATCTTGGCCTATTGTTAGCTTCTGAATAAATGCTAATATTAGCATCTTGAAGTGTTGGGCATCTGTTCATTCAAATATAGCATCATGAAATGTGACCTTTTGAAAACATTTCCATCAATAGCTATTTTCTACCTGTACAGACACTAAACAAGATAATTTATTGCTACTTAAATGTTTTACATGAATAAGAAATATTCCTGTCATTTATGCCTAAAATCTGCTAAAAACAAGTATCTACTTGTGATATTGGCTTAATCGTGTGGAGAGCCCTTATAAAAATGCACAGAAGTCACCTAAGTTATGAATTCCAATGTTAACTTCAGTGCCATTGAGGACAGAACATAAGAACTGAGCCCTGTGGTTTTCATTTCAGGATCCACTATGGTTGCTTAAAAAAATGCATTGTTGTACTAGGTACAAGGCTAAGAATTTAAGATGAACTAGCACTTAATCACTATGCTCCTGCAACACAAGCATCACTGTGACCCCATTTCTGGGTGAGGAAATGGGCTGAGTTGAAGTAATGACTTTGTGGTAATGACTCAGGAAAAAAATGAGTGTCCTATTAGAAGGTCTGTTAAATTACTGCCTTCATATCTTCACTGATCTGGGCCAACCTGGAATGCTAACAGGTATTCCAAAAGTCTAGGTGATGGAGAAGAGACACTCAAGTCTGAACTCAAGGAGTTTAGGTGAAAATGTTATTTAAGTGATCATCAACCCTGCCTTCAATAAGATCTGAGAACCATGTGGGGAGTTCTTAAATCCTGGTGTGAAAGTTTTATCTTGGAGCATTGACAGCAGAACCTGTGGGGATGGGACTGAGACCGCAGGAGCTCTTAAAGCTCACCAGATAATTCCACCACGCCAGATAGTGCTTCAACCTCTAAACCTCTTCCTCATCTTCAATCCATTATCTTGGGTGCAGTTCCCACCATCCTTGGAAGATAGCCAGATTGAGTTCTAGCTTTCTCTTTACATGGGTACCTCATTTCAGTTCCTGTCTTTAAAAATGTAGATAATGACACCCCCTTCAGAGGTCTGTCGTGAGAATGAAAACTTATGCCTGTGACAGCAGCCAGCACATTGCTTGGCACATAGTAGTGCTCACTCAATATAGTTGTCATCCCTTTGCTGAGATGAAGACCCTGTGTTTTGGGAATAATCTGGGAGATTTGCAACTGCCAGAACAATTCAGTAGCAGCATCCTTTTCCAACTATGGAATTCATTTGTTCCCCTGAAAGGCAAAAAACATTAATGAAGTCATGTTGATAGGAATCCCTTCCTTTGTAGAAAGGCAATGTTTGCTGAAACAGAAAATTACTCTTAAACCATGCACATTAGATATAAGGTTGTCTAAGGTGATAAATCTAGCCTTAAAATCTTTGAGATGTGTTTCATATTAAAACCTGAAATGATTAAGTCCATTATCTATATCTTAACGATGGCTCTTCAAGGAGATCCCTCTACAGTTTCCACTTTTTTTAATCTCAGTACAAAGTTCAAGGGCTGGAAGTAGGAAGCAGGAAGCCTATGCTCTGAACTTGACCAACAGGAGCCCAGTTGATTGAGCTTGAACCAAGCCACCATTGGTCTGGTATGGAAAGATCACCTGGGAAGCACTTCCAGATCCCCTTGAGAATGTGTCCGTAAATAAACCATACAGTTCTGTCCTTCATCCACCTCAACCATCTGCCTGTAAGTACCAGCCCTGAATGCACATGGGATCATCCAGGGAGACTTACAAAGTACTGATGCCCAGGCTATTCACCTCAAAGTGTCTGAATTAGTCCTTTTGGAGAGGAGCCCAAGCACTAGTATGTTTGAAATACAACTGATCCTAACTGTGCTTGGGATTGAGAACCACTATGTTGGAATGAGTTTGTGAATGAATTGGCTTACAGTAGAGTCACGTGCCATGTATCTGGGTCACTGGCAAACTATGATAGCAAAGAACATACAGTCTAGATGTATAGTAGGTTAAACCATCTAGGTTTGTACAAGTGCTATCTGTAATGATTGTATAATGATGGAATCAACTAATGTATCTCAGAACATATCCCCATTATTAAATGACACATGATTATATAGGTTTACAGGGATGCCTGAAGCTGCTGATAATGGGTTCTGGTCAGTGTGTTCAGACCTGCTCCTTTACCTGTTGGCTAAGAGTTACCAACCCTTGGCCATGTACCAAAATCTGACAGATAAAAGTAAACATTCATAGGCTCTCCTGAGTGAGGCAGGTAGTGGTATGACAAGACAGGGGCTGTGCTATTACCCGCTGTGAGCTCTAGGGAAATGAGTAATCCACACTGGCACTCAATGTCTGTCTGCCTTCTGTATAATGGGGAAGATAGTAACCTGTGTGGTGGTTGTAAAGACCTTTAATGGCTCACAGATGAGAAAATGTGTCTGGTACATCGTGTGGTGTCTAGTATGTCACAGGTACTTGGAATACCATGACTGTAACAAAGCACAGGAAGATGAGAGGTCATTACAAATGCCTTGTAGCGGTGCCCTGTCTGTAGGCTTCACTGTCATGCAAAGTCATGTAATTCCCCACACAACTGAATTTTACTACATGAAAAATCTCGCCATACAACCAAGATTAACTTAGATTTACTTGTCAATATTTGGCAGAGAACATACTACTTTGATTCACAAAGACTAATTATCCAAAGTGTTTATTTCTGGAAAACCATAAAGATAAATTTTTCACACTTCAGCGAAATGGATCCATCAAATAGCTTAAGTCAAGTGCCTTCCCAAGCAGAATACAAACATTCTTTGTTCTGAATGATGCAAATGATGTGAAAATACAGGCATTCAGTCACCTTGAGCCATGCCAAGAGACAGAAGAGCACTAGTAATCCCAACAGGAAGTGTGACTTGCACAACAAACCATGATAGGAGTTACAGTTCCTGAATTCTAACCTGAAAGTAATTGGGAAACTGTAAGTAGATCAGGAAAATCCCAAGGATAGTTCTGCTTAAGGCTCTGGCTTTCACTTTGCAAGGCATAGTAACTGGAGTCACTTTGGAAGCCATTCTTGAACCTTTGGTTCCCTGGTCTTATAGATACATCTGCTTTGTGACTTATTACATGGAAAATTCTTAATGTCACGAGAACAGGAACAGTGTATATGCACACTTACAACCTCAGAACTTGAGCACTGGCAACAGGTGGTGCTGAGAAATATTTAAATGAGTGAACAAACTACATCACTCTAGGTAAACTTCAAAAACCTCCCATTTACTAAAGAACAAATGAACCACTTATTATATATACCAGCTGGCAGAATTGACTGGAATCTTCCAAGCCAAATTTTTAAGAGGTTTATTTACTTGAAACTCAGAGTTACACAGAGAGAAAGAGGCACAGAGAGGTCTTCATCAACTGGTTCACTCCCCAGTTGGCCGCAACAGCCAGAGCTGCACCGATCTGAAGCCACAGGTCTCCCACATGGATGCAGGGGCCCAAGGACTTGGGCCATCTTCTGCTTTCCCAGGCCATAGCAGAGAGCTGGATCAGAAGAGGAGCAGCTGGGACACAAACCGGCACCCATGTAGGATGCTGGCACTGCAGGTGGTGGCTTTACCTGCTACTCCAGAGAACCAATCTCCAAATACTTCTGTTTCAGCAGCAACATCTTTAACTAGACTTGCTGCCCTTGTTTAAGAATGTCAGCAAGTCCCTTTCCTCAAGTCGGGGCCTGAGCAGATCTTTGTTCTTATTGAAACATGACGACCTTGGCTCACTTATCCATGCTTCCCAACAGAGGCACTGAGGTAGGGTTCTGCCTTCCCTGAGTACGAGACAGGGAAAAGAGACAACCTAGTGAAACCAAAAAAATCGGCTCTCTACCTGGTCAGGTGTCTGGGACCCGAGGGCCTAATACTGAGGAAATGAAGAATGAAAAATATTCCTCTTTTGTATTATAGTTTGTAGTTCTCATTCTGTCTGCCCTGGCCTGCCTAAACTGCGTGCTTCATGCTGGTTCAATGGAGAATAGTCTGAGATGACAGCAAGTTAAGTCTGGAGCTGGCTTCGTCTCCTCAACATGTGCATCTTCCCATGTGGGCATGTGAAGATTGGAAGCTTAGGCTACTCAGTAGTCTACACTAGCGGGGACCAATATCACTAGAGGCCTGTGAAGATCAATTCCTCCGGCTTAGAGCCCTGCGGGGTGCTAAGTCAGAGTAGCAAATAAGCTTTGATGCAGTTCTGAGTAGGCGAAGCCTGCCATCCCTGAGATGGTGACATTGCTGAAAGACTGCAGACCGGGCAGAGCCCCTCCACACCCGGACTGTGTACTTGAAGCTGGTGCTTGGGGAGCTGAGCTCATCCCCAAGCAGAAAACGGGAGTGAAGCTGCAGCACGGACTCTTCTGCTTCATACTCACTGGCAATGAATCCCACAGCAAATGGCACAGACCTGTCGCCTGCTATCTGCCAATTTAGAGGAAGCCATTGATCTGTTCATGCCTCGACTTCCTAGTTGACGAAATGGAGGTAATAGTATCTTCCTTTTGAAAGTTGCTGTGAGGATTCAATGAGATAATGTTAAGAGCCTAGCATCTCCCCTGATGTTCATAGATACGCAATATACAGCAAGGTATCTGCTAAAACCCCATATTAAGGAGAATCGAAGTCCTCAGTTTAGAGGTTAATAACTTAAAAATATGCATAATCTTTTACAAAAACCAACATAAGCTTCCTAAAATGTCTTCTGAACTTGGAGTTGATCAGGTTTCTTCTGAGGAGTCCTCTGGATGGATTTTCTTATCCGTAGTCTCCTAAATGGGACATAAAAACAAGGTCATTGTGAGCCAGCTGGTATCGGAATGCACATGCACTTTCTACAGCAGGCAGTGTAATTCAGAAGCCGAGCGCATCTACTGCCAACACTACCGTGCACGCCAGCAACTGTGCGCAGGGAGCAGCAATTGGCTACATCTGCATCACTATGTGACTATGGCACTGTACCTTTCCATCTAAGATCATTTTCAACCAAGTGATGTGACAGGTGCCCTGGGGAATCCCTCAGGTGTATCACTGGCCAATCTTCATCGTTTGCAGTTGTGACTGTCAGTGGTGCCGGGGCTCTCGGCTACTCAGGTGAAAGCCGGCGTCTCCAGCTTTCCATCACTGATGGCCCACCTAGGGAGTGTGACTGGTGCACAGGTCCCATAGGGCAACAGGTGACAGTGGCTCTAGGAAAAAATGGCTGCAGGTGCTCTCACATTACCACTCAAGAGGCACGGAAGTGTAAGGAAGCTGGGAGACCAGGAGGAAGCACTTGGCTCCTGGCTTCGGCGCAGCACGCCAGCCGTAGCAGCCATTTGGGGGGGTGAACCAACAGAAGGAAGACCTTTCTCTCTTTCTCTCACTGTATAACTCTGCCTGTCAATAAATAAATAAATAAAAAGATGACAGAGCCAAGATGACTAACTTCAGTCACATAAAAATACGAGAAAAAGGACCATGTTTCCAGCAGACTGGAAATTTTCAGTGGCGAAGGAACATGACGGATTGGTAGGTAGTGAGGAGAGTGAGGCATGCTGCCATCTGCTGTGCTACCAGCCACTCCTGTAGCTATGTGACTGGCTCCCAGCTGAGAAGTGCCATCTCGCTAGGCAAGGGAGAACTTTGGAGTCCCCACAGGCTTCAAGTCTGACCAGGGAGCTGGTAAGGGTCTGGGAGACTACATTAATTGCTCCCTCCCCCCTTCCATCTTCCTCCAAAGTGGCAGACTGAGTTGGCTGTGGTTGAATCGCAGCTGAACTTCATTGATTTGGAACAGTAGGCAGTCCTGCTGCTGACCGAGGCTGCCAGGGACAGGACAGCTTGCAGGGAAAAGAGCTGACCCCTTGCACCTGTGACTATGAGGTCATAGAGCTGAGATGGTTACAGACTACAGCTGGGTTCCCATGTATCCACCCGGAGCTCCCTGCATACAGGGCACAGGTCTCAGTGAGGAGACCAACTGCAGAGTAGACTGGTGTCCTGGACAGTGCATGCACCTGGCTAAGTTGAGGTATTCTGGCACCATGAGCTCACTCTAAGCTCTGAATTGCTGGTTCACTCTGGCGCACAGAAGAGCTGGGACTGAACATACTGGCCGGCTCCAAAATCCTCCCTTCTGACTGTAGGCAGAAGTGCTCTACTGTGCCCATCTTGGTGTCACTCTGGACCCTTGCCCCACCCAGAGCTCCCTGGTTTCCCCCAGCACACGTGGAAATCAAGTATAAGTAGTGAGCACTCCACCGAGCCTCACGGGCACATTTCCAAGAATGAAGCCTTCAATCAAAAACTCATCTTCCAGAGGAAATTTTGATCAAAAGATTCTTCAGATTTTCTCTATCAACATAGAAACACAAGAAACATGAACAAGGAAGGCAATGTGTCTCCCCAAAAGGAACATATAGATATGAGATTGGCTAAATACCTGGAGAATTCATAAACAATGATCATACCTTTACTGAAAACATTAAACAATCTGTACCTGACATGGAAAATCCTGCAAAGAGATGCTGGGGTTGGGGGGATGGCAGAAATACTGAAATATTAAAAATGAAGTATTCAATAAGTACAACTTAAAGACAGAAACCCTTAATAGACTTGGAAAGGCAAAAGAAATATCTAGAAGATCTTCTGAATTATCTTGGTTGGACAAAAAGGACAAAATGTTTGGAATCTAAGATACGATCAAAAAACAAGTCTTGGGAGTTCCTGAAGATATGGGGGGGGGGGTGAAGAATGGCTTGGAATAAACCCATTTAGTGATATAACAGGGGAAAAATTTCCCAATTTGCAGACAGATATGGACATCCAAGTACAGGAAGCACATAAAACCCCAAATAGGTATGACTGGGGTTGGGGGGAGGACCTCACCATGACACGGCCACCTTTTTGAAAGCTTGACTACAAAGAGTACACAAAAGCTCAAGAGAACTGCCAAATCGCAACTCTCAACAGATTAACTAATCTCTCAATAGAAACCCTATAGGCAAGGAGAGTGGAGTTACAGCCCAAATCCTAAAAGAAACTGCCAATCCCCAGGCTACTGGACTGAACAAAGCACTCATAAGTGAAGGTGAAATAAAGGCCTCCTAGGTTAAGCAAAGATTGAATGTATCCCCACCTAGCCAGTCTTACAAATGATACTGAAGGGTAAACTACACACAGAAATATTCACTCTGCAGTGGAAGAATGTTAATGGACCAAAAGGAAGATGTAAGCCTAGTACAACAAGGGGACTTCAACATCCCACTCATCGTTGGACAGATCAATCAAAAAATGAATAAAACAAAGCTAACCTACACCATATATATAGATGCCTAGAGAACATCTCCTCCCAGAGCTGCAGAATTCATTCTTATCAGTGCATAGAACGTTCTCTAGGATAGAGAAAGTTAAGAACAAACAACAAGAACCTCACAAAATTACAAACATGTAGATACTGAACAGCATAGCTCTGAATGAACAGTGGGTATTGGGAGAAACCAAAATGAATTCAAATTCCTTAAATAAAAATGAATATCAAAACGTATAAGATCCAGCAAAAACAATGCCTACATCAAAAAATTGGAAAGGTGTCAAATGATCTAATGATGCATCTCAAGGACCTAGGAAAAACAAGAACAAACCAAACTCCAAGTTGGAAGGAAAGAAATAAAAATTAGAGAAGTGAACAAAATAGAAATCAAACTACACAATGATCAGTAAACAGAAAAGCTATCTTTTTGGAGGGGGTGTGGGAGTTGAACCATCAGCCTAACCATAAAAAGACCAAAATTAATAAAAGCAGAATAAATGTTACTGATAACACATACAAAGCATTGTTAAGCGTTATTATAAACAGCAATACACTAATTAGAAAATCTAGAAATGGATGGATTTCTAGACACAACTCACTAAAACTGAGGCAAGAAAATAGAAAACCAAAATAAACCAATAATCCAGATTGTTGGGAAGACTCTTAGCTGTTGATTTAATCTCAAAGAAAAGCCCAGGAATGGATGGCTTCACTGTTAACTTGAGTTCTACCACACTTTTAAGGAAGAATTAAGCTAGTTTGTTTGGGAGGGTTCCCTCTCGTTTATTCTGAGGCCAGCATTATGTTAATTCCAAAAGCAGAGAAAGATACAACCAAAAAATTATTAGACCAGTATCTCTGATGAACATAGATGGAAAAATCCTCAACCAGATACTAGCAAATTGAATCTAACACATTAAAAAGATCATTCACACAGGCCAAACAGCATTTATTCCAGGGAATTTTCAACATATACAAATCAATGAACATGACTATCAGATGGAAAGAAAGCACTTGATAAAACACAGCATCTTTTCAGGATTAAAAAAAAAGAGCATTGTATATAGAAAGAACATACCTCAACATAATTACAGCAATATATGACAAACTCAGTCAGCATTATGTTGAATGGGGGAAAGCTAGAAGCATTTCCACTAACATCCAAAACAGGATAAGAATGCCTATTCTTGCAACTATTATCCAATACAGTTCTAGAAACTAAGCAGAACCATTAGGCAAGAAAGGGATACCAATTTGAAAGGAGAAAGTCAAATTATCCCAGACGACATGATCCTTTATATAGCAGAACCAAAAGATTCCACTTAAGATTACTAGAACTAAGGTTGCAGGATATACAAACAGCATTCTTATATACCAACAATGTTCTGCCTGAGAAAGAAGTTAAAAGTGAGTTGCATTCAGAATACCTACAAAAGTTAAATACCTTGGAAATAATTTAAGATGAATGTAACCAAGGATATAAAAGCTCTACAATGAAAACTACAAAACATTAAACACATAGAAAAACTTTACATGTTGATGGACTAGAAGAACTAATATAGATATGTCCATACTATCCAAAGCCATTGGGATTCAAAGGGATTCCAAGGACATTCTATAAAGACCTAAAAAACAAAAATCCTAAAACTCATAAGGAAACACAAAATGCCCCAAATAACCAAAGCAATCCTAAGCAGTAAAATCAAAGCTGGAGGCACCACAATACCAGATCTCAAGACATAGTACAGGGCTGTTAAAATCAAAAAGCCTGATATTGGCACAAAAATAGACATGTAGACAAATGGATTGGAACAGAAACCCTAGGAATTAATCCACACATCTACAGCCAACTTATCTTTTTTTTTTTTTTGACAGAGTGGACAGTGAGAGAGAGAAAGGTCTTCCTTTTGCCGTTGGTTCACCCTCCAATGGCCGCCGCGGCCAGCACGCTGCGGCCAGCACACCGCGCTGATCCGATGGCAGGAGCCAGGTACTTATCCTGGTCTCCCATGGGGTGCAGGGCCCAAGTACTTGGGCCATCCTCCACTGCACTCCCTGGCCACAGCACAGAGCTGGCCTGGAAGGGGGGCAACTGGGACAGAATCCGGCGCCCCGACTGGGACTAGAACCCGGTGTGCCGGCGCCGCAAGGCGGAGGATTAGCCTAGTGAGCTGCGGTGCCGGCCAGCCAACTAATCTTTGACAAATGAGTTAAAGTCATTTCTTGTAGCAAGAATCTCTTCACCTGGTGTTGTGAAAATTGGATTTCCATACGCAGAAATCTGAAACAAGACCCTTTCTTTACATCCCATACAAAAGTCAGCTCGCAATGGATCAAGGATCTAAACTTAAGACCTGAGGGCATCAAATTACTAGAGGAAAACATAGGGGAAATACTGCATGACACTGATCTAGGCAAAGACTACCCGGATAAAAGCCCAGAAACACAGGTAATAAAAGCAGAAACAAACCAACATGATTACATCAAGCTAATAGGATTCTGCGTAGCAAAGGAAACAAAGCACAATGGGAGAAAATATTTGCAACTGATACATCTGATCAGAGATGAATACCCAGAATACATAAGGAGACCACATTACACAATGACAACTCAGTTAACAAACAGGCAAAGGATATAAGCTGGCATTTTTTTTTCTAAAGGATTAACTAGAAATGGCTAACAGACATCTGGGAAAAACTCAGGCTCACTAGCCATCAGGGAAATACAAATAAAAACCATAATGAGGTATTACCTCATTATATACCAGTTGGAATGCTTATCCAACAATCAAAATAACAAATGTTGTCAAGAATGTGGGGGGTGGTACCCCAATTTACTGGTGGGGAAAACACTGGTACAATCATTATGGAATAATGGTATGGAGATCATTCAGAAAACAAAAAATCTCCCGTAGGACTCAGCTGTCCTACTCTTGTTAGCATATCCAATGAAAACGGCCTATGAAAGTTACCTGCACTCCCATGTTTATAGCAGCTCAATTCACAATAGCATATACATGGAATCAACCTAGATGGCCATCAATTGATGACTAGATAAAATGTGAATATGGCTGAGTAATATTCCATCATGTATAAAGAATGGAATCCTGACATTTGCAAAAAGATGAAACTAGAGACTATGCTAAATGAAAAAAGCCAGACCCCAAGAGACAAATATCATGTTTTCTCTAATTTGTTACCTTATATAGAAGATAAAAAACGTGTCAACATTAGAAAATAGGTTTTCTTAAGTGGTGCCTTACTCAGTTTATGTGTATCACATGGGTTAATGTCTTTTGGAAGTGTTGGCATTAGCAAGAGTGAAATGAGGATACATACTAGAGGAATAACTCGATATGTTCTATGGAAATAACTTTGACCATAGTGTTCCAAAACCTAAGTGCATACATGTTCCTTGAGCCAGTAATCGATAGGATAGAGTCTTGCAGATGGAATCAAGATTTACAGATGCAAAGGACTGATTTTCATAAGTATTCTTACTTTATAAGCTATATAAATGGCAAGTTAGCAATGAATAATGTGTCAGAATCATAGAAACATTAGAGTAACCTGAAATGCTTAAGTTTTCTCGTACGCATTAGGTGGAAACCCCTATAGGTCACAGGCTGCTTCCATATTTCCCAGCAGATTGGCTGTGAGTACCTACTGTGTGTCAGGATGAAGCTAAACTTACAAGCATTATGGAGGGGGGGTCTTCAAAAAGTTGATGGACATGCTCACAAATCTCACACTAAATTCCATAAGTCTCTTGAAGCCCCTTCATATTTCTGTTATTCCCCAAACATGAGAAACCAGAAGCCCTAAGAAGTTGAAGTATGTATTCCCACAGCTTGAAAATGGAAAAGTTGGTTTGGACTCTAGTTTCTGAGCACAGACTCGCCCTCCTTTCCTTGTACCAACTGCCCCTCAATGGAAAAAAAACAAGGGATTTCAAGAAAATCATGGAAAATGGAGTAAAAAGATAAGTTTAGGAGCAGGTGCCTAGCCTTGTGGTTAAGATGCCCATGTTATACATCAAAGCACCTGGGTTAAATTCCTGGCTCCAGCTTCCTGTCATTGCAGACCCTGGGAGGCGGAGGTGTTGGCTCAAGGCAATGGTTTCCTGCCACCCACATGAGAGACCTGGACTGTGTTCCTGGCTTCCAGCTTTGGCTCCGATGCAGCCCCAGATATTGCGGGTATTTGTGGAGTGAGTCATCAGGGAACCTCTACCTCTTGTCCCCTCAAATATTTTTTTTCCCTCAAATATTTTAAAGATGGTCATTTTGGTTAAAAGTATAGGCTTTTCATAATGCCTATTCATGAACTTTCTAGAGATTGCATATTTCTATAGCAAGTACATAAAAAAAGATCAAGGTTCTACTCTTCGAGTGGGAGGGAATGTGTACCTCGACTGAAATATGTCCATTTCTGGTAGAACCTTTTATAAACATGGATATCAGACCATGTTCTGGAATAGACTGGATAAGTATGGGGTCAGATTCTGCTTACCACTGCTACCCTCAACTCCTAAAAACCAATCCTTTCCAGTGTCTGGTTACTAAGATAATGATGGGATGTCTCTTTACCCACCTGGCAAGGTGAGACGACTTGTAGAGTTAGTGCTTGGGGCTGGTGAGCCATGAGAATGCCGCTTTATTCCTGTAAAGAGGGGAGAAAGGGTAAGGAAAAACAGGATCATAGACGGGTAGACGCTCATGTGAAATGTTACCAAGTGATCCAATAGTTTAGAAGAAGATTGGGTGAGGATGTGGGAATGGGGCATATTCTGTGGTCCAGAAAAGCCAGGGGCACAGTCATAACCTTTATGCTTATGGTCTGTGATTGGCAGGTGGGTATGTTGAATGCCAACACACCAAGTGGGGCTGTATCTTGGCTGTACCTTAGCATCAAAGCTTTCCAAATATGCAGTGCCTGGATAATCTTCTGCCCTACCTAGGCACTGCTAAAGCTCCCAGAGGAGCCTTGTCTGCACCCAGGTGGAGAGCTGGTAGCTGCAAGAGGGCACCCTCTGTATTCAGAGCAGAGGATTCGGGTTCTGTCCCTGTCTTGTCCCTCTAGGATCTCGTGTGCTACAGGGCCTCAAACACTGAGCTGGATGGCTCAGTCTTGGATCCTCATCTACGATATGAGGGAAGATGCAATTTAATCAGGTTCTGGTGAGGATTAAAGGAACCAGGGCACTCCCTGGTACCTGGAAAACCATGAGTGATTACACCAATAACAAGGTCTGGCTTTCCTAGCTGCTGGTAACAGAATTCCTAGTAGGAAGGGATTATCTTTGTATAAAGAGTTCAACGGGGCTGGCGCCGCGGCTCACTAGGCTAATCCTCCGCCTTGTGGCACCGGCACACCGGGTTCTAGTCCCAGTCGGGGCACCAGATTCTGTCCCGGTTGCCCCTCTTCCAGGCCATCTCTCTGCTGTGTCCCGGGAGTGCAGTGGAGGATGGCCCAGGTCCTTGGGCCCTGCACCCCATGGGAGACCAGGAGAAGCACCTGGCTCCTGCCATCGGATCAGCGCAGTGCGCTGGCCACAGCACACTGGCCGCGGCGGCCATTGGAGGGTGAACCAATGGCAAAAAGGAAGACCTTTCTCTCTGTCTCTCTCTCTCACTGTCCACTCTGCCTGTCAAAAAAAAAGTTCAATGGGTCATGAGGGAATGAAAAGGCAGACCCTAAGGTGGGATCAGTAAAGGGAAGGTAGAATAAAGGGAAGGCACCATTCTTCTGTGAAAGAACATGTACTTCTGGGGCCAGCACTGTGGTGTAGTAGGTAAAGCTGCTGCCTCCAGGGCCAGCATCCCATGTGGGCACCGGTTCTAGTCCCAGCTGCTACTCTTCTGATCAGCTCTCTGCTATGGTCTGGGAAAGCAGTAGAAGATGGCCCAAGTCCTTGGGCTCCTGCACCTGCATGGGAGACCCAGAAGAAGCTCCTGGCTTTGGATTAGCACAGCTCTGGCCATTGTGGCCAACTGGGGAGTGATCCAGCAGATGGAAGACCCCTCTCTGCCTCTCTCTGTGACTCTTTCAAATCTTTAAAAGAATGTACTTCTTACTTAGTATATACTAAATTGATCTTCTGTATACAAAGATAATTGAAAATGAATCTTGATGTGAATGGGTTGTGAGAGGGAGTTGGAGATGGGATGGTGGTGGGTGGGAGGGAGGTTATGGGGGGGGGGAAGCCACTATAATCCAAAAGCTGTACTTTGGAAATTTATATTAAATAAAAATTAAAAAGTACTTCTTACCCACAAATGTATGTATACCCACTACATGCAAACATGTATACATGCAAACATGTATATATATGTATAAACACATAAAAACAAACATGTAGACATGACAACATGTAACACATGTGTGTATATACATGTGCTATATTTGCACATAGGCATTTAGGAGCAGATAGTGTGCATATAAGCATCATTCGCTCATCTGGCCAGCCAGAGTGGGGAGAAAGTCCCGGGAACCCAAAGCCAGCCACGTGGGAGATGCTGCACTGTAAGGCGGCAGGCAGAGTTCTAGCACAGCATACATGTGAGTCCTCTCAACCTCCTCACACTTCTGCGAAAGCCTGCTTTGCACCCAAAGGCTGGTGGGATAGATCGCCCTCTCATGGAGTAAACCGTCTGCCAGCTCCATGGCTGGGCATGGGTAAGAAGATGATCCACAGGCTGGACAGCATCAGGGGAGCAGGCAAGTGGTGAGTATTGCTAGAACTGCTGTGAGAATGGATGAAATGCAATGGGGATGGGGCTGGCGCCATGGCTCACTTGGCTAATCCTCTGCCTGTGGCACTGGCATCCCATACGGGTGCCGGGTTCTAGTCCCGGTTGCTCCTTTTCCAGTCCAGCTCTCTGCTGTGGCCCAGGAGGGCAGTGGAGGATGGCCCAAGTGCTTGGGCCCCTGCACCCACATGGGAGACCAGGAAGAAGCACCTGGCTCCTGGCTTCAGATCAGCACCGTGAGCCGGCTGCAGCGTGCCACCTGTATCGGCCATTTCGGGGGGTGAACCAATGGAAGGAAGACCTTTCTGTCTCTTTCACTGTCTGTAACTCTACCTGTCTAATAAAAAGTATCAGTCCTGACATCCTGTGTTACCACTCCTATTGGCAATGGCAGGAATAGCATTAATAGCCGTGGTAAGGACTGAAACCCAAATGTCTTGGACTTACACAAGCTTAACTTGCAAACAGTGAGGCTGGCTCTGAAAGGACTTCATTGCTGTATCTTCTTGGGTCTGATGGATCCCTGAATGTCAGAGTTGAGGGAACTTAAACCTGACTAACACTGGCTTAGAATCCCCTGAGAGCAAATCTTCTAGGGTCCTTCTGTGGACCCCGAAGCAGAACCTCGAGGCAGCAGACCTGAAGCTTGTCTGATGACCAGCTGTCTAGGACACTTGGATGGAAAATACTTAGCCAAAATGGCTCCCGAGTCGGGGTGGCCTGACTGCATAACCCCAGTGAGTGTTACACTGTGGCTCTCACAGAGGGTGACAGAACCTTCTATGCAGCAAGCCAGCCCTGACCAGGAGCAGTATCGAGCTGTGAATCTGTGCCTCTGACCTCGTGGTTCAGAGCTGTTCCAGCTTCAGAAAGGCCCAGGGCCCCTGTACTGGAGTCAGCAGTGACTCGCGTGCGTCCTTCCAGGACAAGGCTTTCGACTTGACTCAGAGGGTTTCTAAATGGCATTGCTGTGACCCTTGTTGCACATAATTCCTTCTAGTAGGGGCTGCCTTGTGCACTATAGGATGTTTAACAGCCTCCCGGCTTCAGCCTGCTGAATGTCAGTAGCACCTTCCCGAACACGACAATGGAGATGTCCTCTGGATTGTGACAAACGACCTCCAGGGGAATAATGGTCCTCAGCTGAGAACTGCTGTCTTGGCATGGAGACAGGACTTGGGTCTCCTACTCAGAGCAAGGACTCTCATGAGCTAGGCCTGGTGAAATGTCCTTGTGTCATCACCTCTGACACTAACACTCTGACAACAAGGACACTCCCATCTTCAGGATTTGGAGATGGAGGTGTAATCTGTACCAAGTTGCCCAGTGCTGGGGAGGGGAGACGAGATGTAAGTCCAGACCTCATCTGAGTTTAAACCTGGGGAAACTTCTCCCCGTGACTCACGCTGCTGCTTGACCAACCCAGTACCTGGGGTGCCTTCAAGTCTGTCTCCCAAGGATGAGAAAAATAGAATAACCATTTTAATAACAACAAAAGGCCTCGCCAAGCCCTAGAGAGCTGGCATTTCCAGAGGGGAGGCCCAAAGACCTGGATATTTTGAGTTCCCCAGGTACTGCCCTCCTCAGACTAGGAAGCCCTGGTGAAGCAGAAATTGGGCGCTCTGCCTTCCAGGGGTACTCTTGTGACCTGGAAAGAGCAATCTTCGGTTGCCTATGTGAGTACTCGAGAGAAATGGCAAAGCACTCACGACTAAAGCTCTGTTAGGAGCTGTACAAAGCACTCATGACTACAGGCTGTTATGAACTGTACAGACAGCTTGGTACTGCAGATTGTCTGACCAACTCCTCGTGCCTTTTCTTATAAACCTGTGATCTTCCAAGAGCCCACCTACAGCTCTGGTGATCCCTTGAGGTAGCTTTCCCTTCCTGGGGGTGCAGATACCTAGGATGTAGGACCCCTGAGGGCCTTGGGACAGTGAGAAGGGAGGACTTCAAGGCCTCCTAGAAATGTCATTCTTGTCTCTGTACCATTGATACACTGGGAACCTAGTGCAACCATCCCCACTTCTAACCATGAAGCAAACAGGTAGCTGGCAGTAATGCCTAAAATCAACCTGATGGACCTCTGAGGTGGGGGAGGGGAAGTTCTGAGATCACCTGCCATTGGCTCCCAGTTCACTGGGGTCCTATCCCTGAAATGCTTTTCCACTCCATAGCCAAATCGCGTAGCACTGGCCCTTTACCTAGAGATGCTACTCCGTGGGTTGGGGTATGGCCTGGGCATGGGATCTGCAGCCCCAAGGGAGAAGCGCTGCAGGCAGTGATGAGCTGGCGAAAGACGTTCTTTCAGCTGTCGAGAGGAGCTTTCTTTAATAACCAGTGTACTTTATCCTCCTGAACAATGCGACTCCCACAGTGGCTTCTCTCCACTTTTCACTTTGGTTTCTGGGAAGCTCGCATTCAATGCATGACTTGATGCTTGCAACTCCAGAGGCCGCCTTAGCATGTGTGCAAATGCTCAAAACAGTTTGCTGTGTCTACTGGCTCCCCTTTATACCTCTGGTCTTACTCTTTCTTAATGAAAAGATCTAGAATCTGTCTTCAGAGCTCTGAAATACTTTATAAATGCAGTTAAACTACATCAGTGCTGACAACTGCATTTCATAAATTTTAACATTTCAGAACAAAGTATACATATTGAAAGTACTTTACAAAGTGAAATAATACTCATATTAGGAAGAAAGGGGTGGGTGAGTAGCTGATATGTCATCTTTGGGAAGCAAGCACTGTAAGGGAAAATACTTTGACCCACGGTGCGTGTTGAAACTATAAACAACCCAACTGGGGACAGGGATGTGTGACTGGTATCTTGTGACAAGTTGACTAGCTTCTTGGGTTATTTCAAACTAATGTCCTGACTGGTTCAGCTGAAGGGTAATGAATCCAATT